ATAGATGTGTGTGTGTGTGTGTGTGTGTGTGTGTGTGTGTGTGTGTGTGTGTGTTCACACGCCTGTGATGGGGGGAGCGCACGGATGGGGTTGTGCATGTGTGTATGCAATATGGGGGGTGACGGGAGAGAGCTGAGCCTTCTGTTGGTGGGGCGTGGGACTGCGTGTATCATACGCGTGAAGGGGGGAAGAACGATGGTGGGAGGCGTTCACTCCGCTGCGCTCTCTGCATGTGGCTGTTCTGCACTTTGGCTGGCAGGGGGGCAGCCGAAGTGGGGAGAGAGCAAATCAGTGTCAAGTTAACCAGCCTGGCAACGCAGCCCTGTCTTCAGAGTGCCCTGCCCTTCAGACATGCCAGAATGGCTTCCTTTCACCTGATTGCCCACTCTCCTTTGAATGCAATCTCCTTTCTGTGCAGTGTGTGGGTGCGTGTGTGTAGCTGGAGGTGGGGGGGGGAGGGCGGAGAAGATGTGGTCCCCCTACACCCCTGTCAATTCACCATCTGGAAGGCATTAATCAAGCAACACAAATTTGGGGAAGCAGGCATGCCCAGTGAACTGTTAACAGGGACGCTTTGTTATCTTCTGAGCCCTGTGGCCTGGGAGGTGGGGAGCGGGAGAGACTGAAAGAAAAGATGATAAAGAATGAGGAGACGGCGGGTCAAAGAGAATGAGACTCAGATCAAGCAAAAGAATTAACGAGGAAGGAAGAGAGAGAAAGGTGGGGGGAAGAAGGGGGGCAGAGCTGAAAGGGGGGAGGGCGGAGAAAGGAGCTAGCACTCCACTGAGCCAGAGCAGTCTCTCCACTGCTCTGAGCAGCTGTCTCTTTAAGAAATCTTGCGTGCTAAATTTATCTCTCTGCTGTCTGTGAAGACTGTTTGTAGGAGATGAAGCCTTGAGGAGAGCCTTTGCCACTGCCTGCCATGCTAAAAATAGATCTGGAGAGACAGGGAGAATTTATATATATCCTCCCGGGGTCTAGCTACAACATGGCCACTGCCCTTTGTCAGAGGGAAGGGCCGAGGTGGGAAGGGAAAATTAACCCGTTCGGCTGAATGCCGGGCATGGCAGAGGGGGGAGAAGGAGCTGCCTAAGGGCGACCACAAATGTCTCTGTCTTTCGGGTACTGCTTCGGCAGCAGTCAGGCCATGCACCTCCAACAGGAGAGCTGGAAAGGCAATGCCCGTCCTGCCCCGTCTTCGCCGTTGCGCTGAGCTCAGGAGGCAGCGCAGGGGGGCTGAGACGAGGTTTCTGTGGGGCATACTCCGCCACTCAAGACAGGCCGTGGGGAGCCCACGCCACGGCTAATGCGGGCGCGTGGCAGATGGAGGTGTCCCAAATGTGTGCGACTCATCTCCTATGCCACACATGGCATCGGCCGTACCTATTATGCCACGCCTGAGACAAAGAGCGGGTTTTCCCTAATGTGCAAGATGCAAAAATGGAGTCAATACCCATTTCCCACCCTCTTTGCGGGACCGTGTGGGCGAAAATCTTCCCAGAGTGTCTGTCCTACCCAGCGTTGCGGGAACAAGGACAATTAGGGGAGAGTTGCTCTGATTTTCAAATGACCCTCACGCCTCCCGGCAGGACTCTGGCATCACCTGCAGAGCTGGCTTCAGATCCCGAACACAACACAGCACGCGGCGGTTGCAAGACGCCAAAGGCCTGTCCCATTCCAGGTGTCAACCTGGCTTTCAGCGGCTTGACTTCAATTTACAGCAGGAGAACAAAGAGCAGGATGAGACTCCAGGCATTTTGGAGTACACCCCACAGCCCGTTAGAGATGGTCATTCTTAGGCAATAGGACTACGTCTAGGCTGCAAGCCTCTTGCGAAAGAGGCTTTTTCGAAAGATAGTTTCAAAAAAGCCTCTTTTAAAAAAGTGCGTCTAGACGACAACCAGTACTTTCGAAACAGCAAACCGCTTTTTCGAAAGAGAGCACCTAGGCAGTCTGGATGCTCAGCTTACATTACGTAGCGCCTTTTTTCGAAAGAGCGCTTTTGAAAAAAGGCATTCTTCCTCATAAAATGAGGCTTTCCGTGTTCTTTCGATTTACTTCTGAAAGAACAGGGCAGCAGTCTAGGTGCAGGGGAAGTTTTTTTCGAAAAAAGGCCACTTTTTTCAAAAAAACCCTGTAGTCTAGACACACCCTAAATGTGAGTGAGATGATGTCGTCCCCAGAAAATCACATCAGCTGTCCCCTTCCCTTCCAAATTACACTACAGCCCAGTGCCTGGCCAGCAGCGCGTGCTCGGAGTGCCTGGTCACATGCCCCTCTTCTGTTGCATGGTGTGATGTTATCGGAGGGACGGCATGTGGGCAGGCGGATGGATGAACCTGCTCCAGATGCTGGTGGTAATCCTGCTGCTGTCTGAACATGTGCTGGGAACCCTTCTGTCTGTACCACCTGGATGCCAAGAATCCTGCCTGAATCTTCTGGATGAAAGCGAGCTATGGCGCAGGGAGAAAGGAGAGCGTCGCCTGGCCGCCTGCCCTCCGCCGCCCAAAGCCAGTGCAGACGTCTAGTCGAATGCGTGTTGGACGCGTGTTCATGCTGGTAGGACCTGATCCCGTCCCCATTTCAATCAGCAGACCAGGACTTTGCAGCTTAGAAAAGAGGAGACTAAAGGGAGAGATGATGGGGTCTATAGAATCATGACAGGTGTGGGAAAAGTGACTAAGGAAAAGTGATTTACTCGTGACATAAGATCTAGGAGTCACCAAATGAAATCAATAGGCGGCAGGTGTCAAACAAATAAAGGCAGTTTTTCTTCATGCGGCGCGTGGTCAACCTGTGGAACTCCTTGCCAGAGGAGGCTGTGAAGACCGGGACTTAAACAGGGTTCTAAGAAGAACTAGATCGATTCATGGAGGTTAGGTCCCTCGATGGCTATTAGCCAGGCTGGGTAGGGATGGTGTCACTGGCCTCTGTTTGCCAGACGTTGGGAATGGATGACAAGGGAGGGATCATTGGATGATTCCCTATTCCGTTCACTCATTCTGGGGCATCTGGCGTTGGCTGCTGTCGGCAGACAGGACACTGGGTTAGATGGATCTTTGGTCTGACCTAGTCTGGCCGTTCTGATGTTCTAACAGGAGCCTCTCTTTGGTAGCCCGTGGTCTCTGCCTCCGTGGCTGCAGATGTAACCTATTTGGCTCAACTCGCCATTGGGCCTGTTCTGAACTGGAGGCTGAGACGGCTCATTTGGCAGTGACCGAAAGCCAAGCCATCGATGGGCTACATGGCACGAGCTGGTAGGACTCAGTCTAGCTGGTGCCTACATCCCAAATATCAGAGCTGTGAAGATGGTCTAGAGGGGCAGTGGGGCACATCAGTGAAGGATTTGCTCTGTCACCAGCCAAACCGTTCCGGCTTTGCAAATTAGTGGAGTCCCGCAAATCCGTGGATATCCGCTTTGTAGCCACGGATGTGGATGTGGGTATCCACTGATCATTTCCGCAGATGTGAATACAAATTGCGTATCTGCGCAGAGCTCTGCATGTTAGTCCGTAGGGCGGCCAGTCCAGCATCTATCGCGTGCACTAGGGAGACTATTCGAAGGGTATGTCCACCGGGCACCTGCCACCGATCCACATGGGAGGCGACACAGAGTTTTTAATTATATAAGAAGTGTCTGCTGGGTGGCTGACCCCTATGAGGAGATCAAAAAAGAGGGGAGAAAGGAGAGAGGCAGGAGAGAGGAGAGTGAGCAGAATGAAAGGGGCGGACAGGGGAGAGGCGAGCAAGCGCAGATGGGAAAGCCCAGGAGAAATCAGGAGCCGGCAGGGAGATGCAGAGGGGCGGTGAGGGAAGGAGATGGACGAGGGACGGCAGGAGAAGAGCAAGAGGGTAGAAGGCGGAAAGCAGAGGAGAGGAATGTCGCCCTGTGAGACGGGAGGGGAAGAGACAGAGACCAGACCATGCCACGGCACAGCTACAGACAGCGCGCACTGCCTCCAGGAGAAACGGGGAAGGAGAAGGGGAGAGACTGCATGGGGGGAGGATGGAGGGAACAGAAGGGAAGGAGGCCCCTCTTGCTTTGAGGTTGGAACGGGCACTGGAATGCTGCCGGATTGTCTCTCTTATTGATTTGGTTTTTAATTCCAAAGGTGCGTGGCGTGTCCCGCTCGGACGGGAACTCCTGGAGACAGTGCCTATCAAGGGGAGGGAGTCACCAACAGCCCGGTTCCACAGACTCCCACTGCCCCACACGTTGGCTAGCCCCCTGCTGATGAGGCCCCTTTAATTTAAACCACAGCCCCCTCCCCTGACCCCCCAACAGGATTCTGCCCTCCTGCATGACTCATCTCTGCTCAGCCCTGTCCCACCCAGCTGCTATTTCTCTGCAGTGCTGATGATCAAGACACTTGACACCGTGGGAAATGGAAGCAACTCTGGAGGAATCTAGAGTTCCTGGGACAACTCTGGAGGAATCTAGAGTTC